TGCGAGACCAGCCCGAGGGATTGCAGGCTTTGTTCAGACGCCAGGCATGGCAGCTTTCATGGCGCGTATGCAGGCTCGTGAAGTATCGCGAAGGGTTGCCGAGCCTATCGGATAAAGCAGACTGTTGCGTCCCCAGTCCTACTCAGGGGAAGACGAATCCCAGTTTCCCTGCGTCCCCCCGTCCCTCATAGTTTCCTATGGCTCATCGCACCTCCTCGTTCGTCTCCCGCACCATCATCCATCATCCTTCTGCCTGCCTCCTCATGCTCACGTTAGCTCAGGCGCGGCCGCGTTCTAGCAATCTCGGCCCATGCCCCCCGTTCACTGCAGGTTGCGCGTGGTCTGCTGCCCCCGTCCACTATGCGTCCGCCCGCGGGCCACCTCGGCGCATGCCCGTCTGCCCCTTCGCGCTGCCACCTCGTGCCGCAGCTCGGCGCCGTAGTGGTCGCATCATCCCTCGTGAGGGGCGCCTCACACCAGCACCGGACGGCCAGCAACCTCTCTGCGGAGGGACCGGTTCCGAGCAGTGGCGAGTGCGACGGAGACGCCATCCGGGAGCGGCCAAGATGGAGGTGATGGCTAGATTGGCCGCCGGTAGCGCGAGCTTTCTGTGAGTCGATTATGGTGAGTCGATTGTGTTTTCTCATTGCGGTTGGTGATGATGATGGTGATGATGATGATGCTGATCATGACCATGATGCTGGTGATGATGATCATGTTGATGATGATGATCATGATGATTATGATGAATATGATGATTACGATGATGGTGATGATGATGCTGATGTTGATGATGATGATGATGATGATGACGATGGTGATCGTGCTGCTGCTGATGATGTTGCTGATTATGCCGATGATGTTGATGCTGATGTTGATGATGAAAATGATGGTGATGCTGATGCTGATGCAAGTGATGATGAGCATGATGACGATGATGGTGATTCCGATGATGACTATGATGACGACGATGACGATGATGAGGATGCTGATGATGATCATAATCATGATCATGCTCATGATGCTTATGATGATGTTGGTTATGGTGATGATGATGATGATGATGAAGGTGACTATGATGATGATGATGGTGATGGTGATGGTGATGGTGATGATGACGATTATGATGATGATGATGATGATGATGCTGGCAATGATGATGGTGATGGTGATGGTAAAGGCGGTGATGATGTTGACGATGATGCCGATGATGATGATGGTGATGATGGTGATGTGGTGATGATGACGTTGAGTATGATGACAAATATGATGATGATGATGATGATGATGATGCTGGTGATGATGATGCTGGCGAGGCTTATGATGCTGATGATGATAACGAGTGTGTTGATGATGATACTGCTGCTGATGATGATGATGATGATGATGATGGTGCTGGTAATGGTGATGATGGTGATGTTGCTGGTGGTGGTGTGTGTGGTGATGATGGTAATGGTGTTGGGTGTTGGTGGTAGGTGGCCTTGACGATGATGGTGCCGGAGAGTATGTTGATGATGTTTATGTTGTTGATGTTGATGATGATGATGATGATCATGATGATGATGATGATGATGATGATGATGATGATGATGGCGATGTTGATGATGATGCTAATGTTGATGACGATGCATTGATGATGTTGATGATGAGTATGATAATGACGATGCTGATGATGATGGTGTTGGTGCTGGTGATGTTGGTGTGATTGTGATGGTGATGATTGTGATGTTGGTGCCGGTGGTGGTAGTGGTGGTCATGATGTTGGAGGTTGTGGGTGGTGGTGGTGGTGATGATTGTGGTGGTGATGATGATGGTTGTGATGTTGTTTGTGTGTGGGGTATCACGGCTAGGGCCATAAAACTCTCGCAGATTTCATGGCCTGCTCTTCTTATCGATGCCTCTCCTGGCCCCCCCCCTGGGCCGCGCACACGTCTCGGGCCATGATTTGCGAACCCCCGTGTTGGACCCCCTCTTGGACGCCCCCGAGCCATACACTGCGTGAAGGTGGCCTCGCTCCCAGCCGACTTCTGCACGGTGACGGGGCAGTATGATTGGTGCTCCTCGCACGTTGGCGAGCCGTGGTGCATATGCGACTGGGCCTACAACAGCTATGTGAACGAGAACGGCAAGCTGGAAACCGGCACCTATGAACCGCACCACCGCCAGCCCCTGCCGTGCCCATCTTGGGCTCTCGGCCCATCCAGCCCAGGACAGGAGGCCCACACCGTAGCCTGCGTCTGGGATGGATGTTGCTTGGCCAGGGCTGATGGCGGTGTATTGTCGAGGCACGTTTTCTATCCACACCCTTTTCAGATTCGACGACGTCCCCTGGGTGGTTACCCGTCTCCTCCCACTCACTCTGTCTCTGCCACGAGGAGGCGCCCTGCGGATGGTACAGAGTGCACGTGTTCAGCGCTTCGTTTACTTTCTACTTGGGCGGAATTTCCACCTCCACCTGTGGGTTCCCTCTTCGACCGCCTCCCTGGTTGGCGGATGCGGCCATACGCCGTTATCCCGCATAGTTTCTGGTTTCCCAGCTTGCAGGACATGGGGGGGTCTGCCCAGCGAGGTCGATGCACGTGTAATGGCGTGCGCTCGCGGAACGAGAATTGCGCAGATTTTAATTCGATTCTTCCACCTTTCACAATGGCGAGTGGGACGTCTGCCGTGTGACGATGGTTTACCCTCTGGGCCTCCTTCTCCTCCCTCCTCCTCACAACAAGAAAGCGTTGAAGAATAGTTGCCGGTTTCCCAGCCGAGAGCCTCTTGGTCGACTGCCCTGGGTCCGCGGCGCACTGCAAGGGCGGGCAGTTCGACGACGGCCCGATGCCTTGCCGTTGAGGTGGATGGGGGCCGCGGAGCTCCCGCGGCCGGGCGGGGGCCGGTTGGACAGCGCCAACACCGCGAAATCTCTGGCCCAGCCGTGCCCGCGTCTGCCGTCCTCCCCCGTCCCGCCCCTCTGCAAAGGAGGAAGAGGTACCCATACCGCTATCCTCGCCCTTTCTCGCCTCTTGGACCTCCTGGGAGTCCTTCGTCGCCACCGCTGTATTGGCCTCAAGATGCTGGTCAGAAAGCACCCTGGGAGAGGTCCTGGGGGTAGCAGTATCGGTACATGTTGGTTTTCCCACCTCTTCCGAAGTCCCTCCTCGTCCCGGTTCGTCCCTCCTCTCTCCTTTTTAATTCGTCGGCCAAAATACGTCTCCAACACAACGTCTCGGAGCTCCGCGCGGATTTGTCGGATCGGCGCTGGATTGGCGAAGACATGTTTTAGGCCGATCTCTCGGCGATGTCTAGCCGATCCATAGGCGATGCATCGCCGATTTCAGGTCGATGTTCTCCCTCTGAGCTGGTCCCTCCACAGCGTTGCCTCTCAAATTTCTTTCTTTCTCTCTCTCTCTCTCTTTCTGTCTCTCCCTCACTCCCTTCTCCCTCTCTCTCTTTGTTGTTTCTTTCTCTCTCTCTCTCGGCGATGTATCTCCGATTCATCGGCGATGCATCGCCGATTTCAGCTCGATGTTGCCCCTCTAAGCTATTCTCCCCTAACGTTGCCCTTCATCTCTCCCCATCTCTCTCTCTGTCTTCCTTTCGGAAATGTATCGCCGATCCATCGGGGATGCATCGTGGATGTCAGTTCGATGTGTCCTCTCTAAGCTGGTCCCTCTTACGTTGCCCCTCATGCCTCCTTCTCTCTCTCTCTCTTTCTCTCTCGCCTCTCATCGGGGCCTGGGACACCCGACGTGCCGCGCGCGCCGTCGGCGTGCGCGTGCCCGGGAGGGGGCCTCGCCGGAGATGGCGGGCGGACGAGTCCGGGGCGGCCAAGGTCGGGGGCGAACCCAATGGAAGAAGAGAGAGGATGCCGATTGCCGACGCCGGCTGGAGATTGTCGAATAGTGCTGATGCCGATTGCTGAGGCCTCCTGGATCGGGTCGGAGTCGTTGGGGTCGGAAGATCGCGCCGCATCGCCGACACATCGGCGATACATCGCTGACGCATCGGCGATGCATCGGCGACATCGGCGATGCAGAGCGATCCTTCGACCCCATCCACTCGGACCCCACATAGGAGGCCTGGAATCGTGAGTGACCTCCACCCTCGGAGGTGGGTGGCCCCAGAGACTGTCCGTACCCTTCTTCGTGTGGATTTTGCGCAATGGTGGGTGGGCAGCGAGCCCGCGAGCCCGAGAGTGGAAGTTTGAGAGGGTGGGCCTTCTCAGAAGGCTTGGATCGGGAGGGTCGAAATGGGTACGGAAAGAATGGGTACGATGCCCAACAGCAGTTCCTGTTCATTTTGAACAGGACTCGCTGTCCGCGCCGCCGCGGACTTTGTTCTTTGAAGGCAAAACGCCGCCGGCCAAACAGCGGCCGCTGTCGTCGGGCCCAGTGCCCCTTTTTCCGTACACATTTCGGGCGTGCAAATTGGAAGGCCGCGGGCTTTCTGAGAGGTGTCCTAAGTTAAGTTTTCTTTGGAGACAGAAGCGGCTTCTCGGAATGCACGAGGGCTTCTGAGAAGCCCCACCGCTTTCTGACAAGACATGGCCCCTCTCACTTCCCCCTTGGCGCGCCGCCGACAAGAGGAGGTGTTGACCAGGGGAGGTGGTGGACGTGTCCTGGCCGCGGCCATGATACCTCCTCGGAGTTCATGGCCCCCTTTTCGTCTCCCCACACGTCCCCTGACCCCCCCCCCGTCCTCTCCGCACGTGCCTCGGGCCACGATTTGCGAACCCCTCTCCTGGATGGCGCCCCCCTTATGAACGCTCGAGAGGGGGACCAGTCCTCCAGGCCTCCCAGATGGGGTCTGAGCAGGTGGTGTCGGAGGATCGCGCCGCATCGCCGATGCATCGCCGACGTCGCCAGTGCATCGCCGATGCGGCGCGATCCTCCGATCGCAGCAGCTCGGACCCAATCTGTGAGGCCTCCTCTGCTGGACGCCCCCGAGAGGAGGAGCAGCCCAGCCCCGAGACCCGCGCCCGCGCTCGCGGCCGTTTCCTCTCCCTCGCCCCGCCCCAGGGGGGTGCCCGGGCGCCCGCCCGATGCCACGCGCCGCCGGCGGGCGCGTGCTCTCGGGCTGGGGGGTCCCGTCGTCGTTCGGTGCGGTCGGCACGGGTGCAGAAGGAGGGGGTGCGAAAACCGGCAGCAGGTCCTGTTCGTCTTGATTCGCTGTCCGTGCCGCCGCCATCGTTGTCCCTGTCAGACAGAAGGCCGCCTGCTCAACGGCGGCCGCTGTCGGTTTTGGACAGCATGTGTTGTTGGCCATCGTACCCATGTTATCCGCACCAATTACCAATTGCGGGCTCCAAAGCCGTCGGAGGCGGGAGGTCAGGTGCAGCGTCATGGGCAACGTCAGGGGGGCATGGGCTCCAAGGTTCGAGCTTCGAGACTCGCGTTCTGGCGATGTTTGATCGCCCTTGGGCGCCCCCGTGGCCACGTCTGGATCCGCCTCGAAATCTTGCTCAGACCGCATCTCGGGAGATAGCCAGGGACAGATTTGTGATTGCTGGGCCCCGGGAGGGACGAAGTTTCGAGACCCCCTAGCAGGCTTTCCAGTCTTGGGGTGCTCTCAAGCGGCTGCGCCTCGCCGAGAGTATTCGAGGGGTACCCAGATCGCCCCGAATGGCCGCCAGAGAGCCAAATTCTGACACGAAGCCCGCCAGTTGATACGCTCAGTTTGGGATGCCACGATTCCGAATCGCCCATTGATTGTCCATAAGGGCATGATAGCCCACACTGCCCAGGAGCGTGCGGGTTCACTGTCAGGGCATATCACCGATCTATCGACGATGTATCGCCGATTCCAGCTCGATGCTTCCGCCCCCTACCGTTGCCCCTTAGATGATGATGATGATGATGATGATGTTGATGATGATGATGATGATGATAATGCTGATGATGATGATGATGATGATGATGGTGATGGTGATGGTGATGGTGATGATGATGATGATGATGATGATGATGATGCTGATGCTGATGCTGGTGCTGATGCTGATGCTGCTGATGATGATGATGCTGATGCTGATGCTGATGAGGATGAGGATGAGGATGAGGGTGAGGATGATGATGATGCTGATGCTGATGCTGATGCTGATGCTGATGCTGATGATAATGATGATGATGATGATGCTGATGATGATGATGATGATGATGCTGATGATGATGATGCTGATGCTGATGATGATGATGATGATGATGATGATGATGATGATGATGATGATGATGATGATGCTGATGCTGATGCTGATGATGATGCTGATGCTGATGCTGATGCTGATGATGATGATGATGATGATGATGATGATGATGATGATGATGATGATGATGTTGATGCTGATGCTGACGCTGACGCTGACGCTAATGATTATGATGCTGATGCTGATGCTGATGCTGATGCATATGAGGAGGAGGATGAGGAGGAGGAGGAGGAGGATGATGAGGATGAGGATGAGGATGAGGATGAGGATGAGGATGATGAGGATAATGAGGATGAGGATGAGGAGGAGGAGGAGGAGGAGGAGGAGGATTAGAAGGAGGAGGAGGACGAGGAGGAGGAGGAGGCGGGGGAGGAGGAGGACGGAGGGGGACGGAGGAGGACGGAGGAGGGCGGAGGAGGACGGAGCAGGACGGAGGAGGAGGAGGAGGAGGAGGAGGAGGACGACGACGACGACGACGGGGAGGAGGAGGAGGCCCGACGCAGTGGGCGGCTTGAGCCAGCACGGCTACGATGATCCCTAGGACGCGTGTTGGCCGAATGTGTGCGCTCCGTCGTTCGTCTCCGCCGATAGCCTAGGTCACTCGCGGGGGCGCGGAGATAATCGCGCTCCTCTCGTCGCGGTCTGGGCCAAGGCGGCTGTCCTTCTCCAAGGGGGCAGCGCGATTGGGCGAGGGCGCGTAGATGATCGCGCATCGCTGGTTACAGGTGATCTGGGGTCGAGTGTGAACCCGCTGTGTGTTTTCCCTCGTTCGTCTCCGCCGATAGCACGCAGCCTGCGGCTGTCCACGTCACACCGCCGGCGGTGGACGATCACACGTTGACACAATACACGTTATGAGGATCATCGGGAGAAGGAGGAGTAGGAAAAGGAAGAGGAGGAGGTGGTGGTGAGGAGAAGGAGGTGGTGATGAGAAGGCGGAGGAGGAGGAGGAGGAGGAGGTGCTGAGGAGGGGGAGAAATCGCAAGCATCTGCGAACGCGGAGGTGAGAAGGAGGGTGGGGGCGGAGCGGTCCAGCACATACGATAATTGCACGAACAAGTACGACAAGAGCAGGGAGGAGAGGAAGGACGGTGCGGGATGGTGCGGAAGGGGGCGGAGGAGCAGGGATGTTGGAGGACGAGGGAGCAAGAGGAGGGGAAGGAGTTGGAGGCGGGATAAGGAGGGAGAGCGGACGACGAGGGGGAGGACGAGAAACCAGTGCAAACCCAAGAATCATCAACTATGTTGGAAGAAATTGTTCCTACAAGCTCCCTCTTCATAGGCCCCTACAACGGTTTATTTCCATTGAGGGAGTTGCCTCGTTGGAAGACAACCGTTCGAAGACCCTGAAGCATGCCAAAACATTAATCTCGGGATTCCAGCGCCACGGATCAACCTGACTCCTTGCGTTTTGACGATCCTGGATCATGTCAGAACGCCGTTCTTGGGACTTCAGCACCGCAAGCGAACGTAACTATTGCACCCTCATTGTCATGAACCCGTGTAAAACAATTTCTGGCATTTGATTCATGGGAATCAGTGAAATTCTTGCAACTAGTTGAAACAAATGCGCGCGACGCTAATGCGGGAATCACATTTTGAAAAGGACTCGCTCTCAATCCGTGAAACTTCTGTTGTTTTTTAAACGAATGCGCGCGTCGCTAAGGCGGGGGCCACATTTTGAAAACGGTTCCCCTCGATCCGTGGAATTCTTGCAAATCTGTGCAACGAATGTGCGCGGCGCCAGGGCGAGAGCCTCATTTTGAAAACGACCCGCCCTCCATCCGTGAAACACTTGCTAATGTTTGAAACGAATGTGCGCAGCGCCAAATCGAGAGCCACTGCTTGAAAACGGCCTGCCCTCGATCCGTGAAGCTCTTGCGACTGTTTGAAGCAATTGCTCGCGGCGCTAAGGCAAGAGCCACATTTTGGAAACAACCCGCCCTCCATATGTGAAGCTGTTGCCACTGTTAAAGCTTCAGGGTCATAAGTGATGGGGAACTCTAAGGCGACACGCCCAGCCCGCCCTAAAAACTTGCCTCGGGGTGCGACGGGGAGAAATTATTTATAAGGAAAAGGCATTGACGGGTGACGAGATAAGGGAGGATGACAAGATAGGTGCGTTCGCGTCGTGTTTGTTGCCATCCTACCCCTCCGCCCATCCTTTCCCATTGCGCTGATCTTGGCTCTTTTTGCGGACGCGTGTCAGAGCGGACTTGGACCTCAAACAATCATTTCATTTTGCAATACGCAATTGGACAAGGGCATGAGAGAAGGAGGAGGAGGAGGAGTTGGAGTTGGAGGAGGAGGAGGAGGAGGAGGAGGAGGAGGGGAGGTGGCGACGGTGGCGGATGAACAGAAGGACGAGCAGAAGGAAAAGGTGGAAGGAATGAGAGGAGCAGGAGGACCAGGCGAAGGCGGAGGAGGGGGAATGAGGGCGACAACGATGAGGAATGATTCGGATTCAGACATGTGGATCGCGCTGCTGCGAGAGCGCCAATCTGCACGAGGGGAACAGAAACCCGATCCTAAACTGAGACCCACGCCGCAGCGGGAGCATCATTATGGAATGACCGAGAAAATAATGACTGGAAGAGTACAGACAAATCATCTCGGCGCCATGCTGTGTATAACAAGTTGTACGCGGAGGGGGTCGCGCCACTCCCGAGCCAACTTCGGTGGAGAGAGGAGAGTACACATTGAGCACTTGTGGGGGAGGAGTAGGGGAATAGGGAGGGGGGGGAATGGGAAACGGGAGAGGAGGGAGGACGACGAGGGCGGAGAAGGAGGGCGAGGAGGAAGGGACGAGCGGGAGGCGGTAGAACAGAGCATGGACGACGAGGGGGAGGAGGCGGAGGCAGGCGCAGCCCGAGTGGGACAGCCGGGGGGATAGGTCAGACCCAGGGGGGGGGGGTGCGCAGCGTTGGCACATAGATTGCGAAGGCCTTACGGCCAGTGCCGCGACCCTGCATTCTGGACCTCCCCCAGGACCCTCGCTGGCGCCCCCCCCCGGATGTCCGCCAGGACCCCGGGGGTGGGGGAGGTATCCTGACCAGGGGCCCCGGTCAGTCCCCCCCCCCCAGGACCCCTTCCCGTCTGGGAATGGATGAAGGGAAGGGAATCGACTTTCATACGGCGTTCCTTTTCTTCAACCTCCTTGGGACTGATGACGACGACGACGACGAGGACAACAGCGTCTACCACACACCGAAGGGCTGGCAGATTTTAGGCATAACTTCAGGAGGTCTTCAGTCTTGGTGATCCCTCCCTGTTTTTCTCGGCGGTGAGTAACTCGGACCTCATCATCCTCATCCTTCCCCTCTTCCTTCTCCCCCCCAAATCCTCCTGCTCCTCCCTTCCTTCTCCTCCTCGTGGTCGTTATCGTCGTCGTCGTCGTCGTGGTCGTCGTCATAGTCGTCACTGTCGTCGTCGTCGTCGCGGCGGCGGAGATTATTTTCCCTCTATTGTGTGACGGGCTGGATCGTGTCGGGGCGTTCATTTTCCTAGGGGGTAATCCATTGTGGGCTGCCTTTCACGCGAGAGGATGTGTGAACATCTTTTCATGAGGATTGCAGTAGTAATCAATGGTTGTGGTTTGAATCGCGAATGTGATCGTACTTATAGTCGTAAACGTATTCATGGTTGCAGTCGAAATCGTAGTCGAAATCGCAGACGTAGTCGTAATCGTCGTCGTCGCGGCGGAGAGTATTTTCCCTCGATTGTTGGGCGGGCTGAATCGTGTTGGGGCTTTTTTTTTTCCCAGGGAATAACGTCCCCGGGCTACCCTGCACGACAGGAATTTGAGCACGTGTAAAGAGTGCAATTTTGAGCGATACATTCTTCTCCGACGGCGTTTCTCACAATCT